TCCCGCTCGCAGGAATTCCGAGGATGTCTCGCGCGTGCCGCGTCCCGCGCGCGCGAATTCTGAGGATTTTGGCTAGATGTCTCGAGCGAAACGCTTGCCCCCAGCACGTTCCGTAGCGCGTCCCCTTGGCAGGTCCCACGGTGCGACCCCATGGCACGTCCCTTGGCACGTCGCTTGGCGCGTCCCTTGAGACGTTCCGCGTCGCGTCCTCCTGGCATGTTCCCCTGTCAATTAGCTCTGGGGCAGCTACTATGTGTTCAAGCAGCTCGAGCTTAAGATCCAGATCAGTTCGGTCAGGACTCGGATGCAAAGGAGGGCTCGATCCACGAGGCTATAGAGCACAATCGCGGCATGGCACATCGCAATTCAGCACGGCGCAGCGTAGCACAGATTTCGGCACGGTACATCACGATCGATACCTTCAGCATTGCAACTTGGGACGTTCCTTGGCACGTTCCGTGGGGCGTCCCTTGGCGAGTCCCTTTGGCACGTCGCGTGGCGCGTCCCCTGGCACATCCCGTGGCACATCCATTGGCACGTTGCGTAGCGCGTCCCCTTGGCACGTCCCGCGGTGCGACCCCATGGCACGTCCCCTGGCACGTCGCCTGGCGCATCCCTTGGGACGTTTCGCGGCGCGTCCTCCTGGCATGTTCCCCTGTCCATTAGCTCTGGGGCAGCTACTATGTGTTCAAGCAGCTCGAGCTTAAGATCCAGATCAGTTCGGTCAGGACTCGGATGTAAATGAGGACTCGATCCACGAGGCTATAGAGCACAATCGCGCCATGGCACATCGCAATTCAGCACGGTGCAGCACTGCACAGCTCTCGGCAGGGTACATCAAGATCGATACCTTCAGCATTGCATTTGCCCGTCACCCAATCAGGTGTCTTTGAAAACGCTGCCATGTATTACAGTTCTATATTCCTTTCCGGGTTCGTGGGTCGATCATGTTTTTGCACCATGACTCCATCGATCTGCGTGAGGGGTGCCACCGAATTTCAGAAATGGTGCAAATCCGCTTTGTTTTTTGACCCTGACCCCGCCGATCTGCGTGAGGGGCGCCAGCAAATTTCAGAAATGTTGCAAATCCCCTGTGTTTTGGGACCCTGACCCCGCCGATCTGTGTGAGGGGTGCCACCGACTTTCAGAAACGTGGCAAATCCTCTGTGTTTTTGGACCCTGACCCCGCCGATCTGCGTGAGGGGTGCCACCGAATTTCAGAAATGTAGCAAATCCGCTTTGTTTTTGGACCCTGACCCCGCCGATCTGCGTAAGGGTTTCCACCAAATGTCAGAAATGTGGCAAATCCCGTGTGTTTGTGGACCCTGACCCCGCCGATCTGCGTGAGGGGTGCCACCGAATTTCAGAAATGTTGCAAATTCCTTATGTGTTTGGACCCTGACCCCGCCGATCTGCGTGAGGGGTGTCAATTTTGACCCACCCCAGCAATTCAGAGCATACGTCTTGGGCGTGGTAAAAATGCCCGTTTTGGGCCTCCCCCCCTCGCGCGGTCCATCAACAAGGAACAGTAAGCAGCAAGAAGTCAACAAGGAACAGCAAGCAGCAAGAAGCAGAACTGTAACAGTGGAAACTGGAAGCGGCAACTGGCACAGAAAACTGCGAACCTTCGTCCTACAGCCTGGTGGCCCCACAAGGGGGGCCAGCGGATCTCCCCGGGTGTCCTGGCCCCCTCTTGTTGTTTCGGTGCGTCCCCTGGCGCCTCATGGGCCACACGCGTGCCTCGGGCCGTGACTTGCGAGCCCGGGGCAGTGCAACCACAAGCCGTCACTCTTCGCGTCTCCGCGCCGGCCCCTTCGGAGACCCTGCCTATCAGAGCTGACAAGGAACAGGGAAGAAGAGACACATGTAGTGAACCAAAGCGGGCGACCAGGGTGAACAGCGAGACCCTTGAGAGCAAGGGGGTGGTCTTGGATGACCTCTTCGGAACATCCTTGGGGCCCGCGGGAGGAGGAGGAGGAGGAGGAGGAGGAGGAGGAGGGGGAAGACGGCGACGACGCCGCCGCCGGCGACTACGACGACCACCACCACCATGACCACGACCACGACCACGACCACGATCACGACCACGACCACGACCACGACGACGAGGAAGAGGAGGAAAGGAAAAGGAAGACGATGAGGGCAAGGACGAGGACGAGGAGGAGGAGGAGGACAACTAGGACGAGGACAGAGTCCTCAAAATCGCCTCTCGGAGCCCTCTCGGGACTCTTTTGGGGGATTTTGGGGCTCTTGAGGGGGGTCTTGTGGCCTTATTGGGACCATCTTGGGACCTTCTTGGGCCCTGGAGGGCCTTTTGGGGCCACCTTGTAGGGCGTCGATCCAACGAGGGGGGGTCATTTCTGCCCCCCCCAGTGAGCCATCAAAATCGCATCGTGGGACGTTCTCGGGACGCTCTGTGTCCGCTATTGGGCGCCGCTCTTGGGGCTGTATGGGGGGCTTCTTGTACCCCTCTTGGGTTTCTCTCAGGCCATCTTGTGGCCATCTTGAGGCCTCAACAGCGCATCGGAAGCGAAAAGGCGAGAAGACAAAGATCATTGATGTTCATTCGGTTGTTGAAGGAGTTTGGCCTCTTGGTGGGGTGGCCTCCTGGTGGGGTCCTGAAGGGGCGCCGAGAGCACTTGGAACCGTCTTGTGGCCCTCGTCGGGCCTCTTGGAAGTATGTCGGAAGCTGTCTTGAACCATCATTAGTTATATTGAGCCATATGAGAGGTCATTCTGGAGCATCGGAGGCCTTCTTGAAGCCATCTTGGGCGAAAAGGGACTCTCTAACACATTGCGCCCCCCCCCCCAGGCAACCTCAGGGAGGGGAGGGTACCCCTCCCCGAACGGAACAGGGCTCTCGGAGGAGGAAAGAAAGTTATCGCTAGACCACCTTAGCCCAAAGGGCTGGTGAGATTACGTGTGCCTCTTAGAGCCCCCTCGGAGGGTCTCGTGGAGCCCTCTTGTGGCGTCTTGGGGCGCTCTTGGGCCGTTTCGGGCGCTCTTGGACCATCTGGGGGAGCTCCTGGGGCCCTCTTGGGTCGTCTTGGGGCCCGCTCTTGGACGCCCCCCTCTTGGCGGGGCTTAGTTCGACCCGATTCGATCTCGATATTTTGGCCAGCCCGACCCGCTTCCATTCCGATAGTCCGACACGCCGGTACGGACCCATGTTTGCACGGCGCTGTTGTGCAGCCTGGCACAGCCAGTGCGATTCGTCCGATGCCGACCGATCCTGCCTCTTCGAGCGCCCCCGACAGCGCAGGGGAGGGGCCGCGGCAGGGGCCGAGGCACCATGGGCCACCCAGGCAGCTCCCTGGAGGCGGCGGCGGGGCGCGGAGGGGCCCGTGCAGCTGGGGCCTCGGCGGCTCCCCGCCGGGGGGCCCTCGCGCACGCGGCGCCCACACGCGAGTGGTGGCAAGCGTCGGTCGGCCCGCGCACGGGTGCGGCCCTCCTCCTCCTCCACCTCCACCTCCTCCTCCTCCTCCTCCTCCTCCTCCCCTCCTGCCTCCTTCTCCTCCACCTCCACCTCCTCCTCTTTCTCTCCTCCTCTTCAGCTCCTCCTCCTCCACCTCCTCCTCCTCCACCTCCTCCTCCTCCTCCTCCTCCTCCACCTCCTCCTCCTCCTCCTCATTCTTCCTCCTCCTCCTCATCTTTCCACCTCACCACCTCCACCACCCTCCTCCTCCTTCTTCCTCCTCCTCCACCTACACCTGACGCGATCTCCGCACTCTCACACACCACAGAACACACACTCAATCGCCGCTGACATCCTCGACTGGGATCTGGAGAGCGGTGTGCAGGCCCCCAGGGCTTGGCCTCGGAGGCCTGTGCATCGCTCCTGGGCCCAGGATGGGCCTGGCCAGCGAGGGCGGAGGTGTGTAGATCTCGTTGCCCTAGAGATGTGCTGCGCATCGGCTACAACCAGACCTCCGACGATGTCATTGTTTCAATCGCGGCGTTTTCGTTCCTCGCTTCGGCCCTGGGGGAGGGCTTTGGGCCCGGAGGCCATCAAAGACGGAACCGGGGGGCAAGATTGTTCCCAGAATAAGAATCACCCGGGGCCGCGGATGGAACAAATCATACACGGCAGGATGTCTGGGCACGCGAGGGGTGCACCGACATGGACACGGAGAGGACAGGTGCAAGGATGGGAGGAGGAGGAGGAGGAGGAGGAGGAGGAGAAGGAAGGAGGAGGAAGACGGAGCAAGGAGGAGGGAGGAGGGCGCGGGGCGCTGCCTCTTCAAGCGAGGACCCAAGACACCACAGGACGCTTGGGAGGACCACCTGCGGCAGGATGCCTGGGCTCGTGAGAGTGCACCGTCACCGAAGTGGTCTTCGGTGCGCGGCCTGCGGGGCGCGCGGAGAGGGGGGGGGGGCGGCAGGCCCAGGCACTCCGGCCGCGGCGGCTGTCGCACCGCACGCGGCAGTGGGCAGGTCGCGCACCAGTGCCGCTCGCTGCCCAGGGCCACTCGTTGCGCGCAGGACCACGGGCGGCCTCCGGAGTGCGGTGCACTGCCCTGATGTGCTCGTGTTGAAACGCAACACGTACACAACGTTCGTTTCTAATGTTTCGAAAGTTCTTTGATTTTAGCTCCTTTCATTTCTGATTGTTCTATCCTGGGCCTCTTCCTGGCCACTAGGGGGCCAAGCACAATGAGAAACGAGCACACTCAGAAATGAGCACGATTAGAAATGAACGACGTGCACCGTGTTCAAAGCGTGCACGTCAACACGCCACGTGTTGGCCCACGTTCTGGTGACCGCACCGCGCCAGGCTCACGTTTTCGGTCTGCGTGTTGAGCTCCGTGTCGTCACGCTACGTGTTGCGTGTTGCGTAGTTATAAGGGGGCAGCCGAGCGCCGCGCTCCTCCGGGTATCCTCTGCCTCGGAGCCCCGGCCAGCGCATGCCTCGCGCGCGGATCGTGGACAGCTCGGCGCGCTGCCGCGGGGAGCCGCCTGTGAGCGGGGCCACTTGCTCTCCAAGCAGGGGCGGCGGGGAGGTCACCGTTCGGGTGCGAGACCGCCTCGAGGAGCGGACGCACCACGACTACAGCATCCGCGTGAGGAAGCCTCCGGACTTCGAGGAGGCACCCCGGCCAGGGAGGGCGGGGCCAGCCAGGGGGCGGGCCTGCACTGAGGGGTTGGGCCGCGGTGGTCCGTGAGGCCCAGACCCCTCCTCCTCCTCCTCCTCCTCCTCCTCCTCCTCCTCCTCCTCCTCCTCCTCCTCCTCCTCCTCCTCCTCCTCCTCCACCCTCTCACACTCCTCCCTCCATCTCCCTCCCTCCCTCCCTCCAGCTTTCCTCCTCCCAGTCCTCCCTCTTCCTCCCTCTTCCTCCTCCCCCCTGCTCACTCCTTTCTCCTCCCCCCGCCCTCTCTTCCCCTGGTTTTGCTCTCCCTCCCTCCTCCCTTCGTGGCCCTCCTCCCTCTTCCGTCCTCCTTCTCCTGCTCCTCCTCCTCCTCCTCCTCCTCCTCCTCCTCCTCACGCTTCCTCGCGTTCCTTCCCCGTGCCTCCTCTTTCCCCTCCTCTCACTCCTGCCACTTCCCTCCGCCCCCATCCACCCTCCTCGCCCCCCTCCTCCCTAATTACTTCTCATCCAGAGCCAATTGGGCTCACGTGCTCTTTGGGCTCAGGCCGTTTTTGTCGCAGGGTGCCCGCGCGCCCGCCCTCGTCGGATGCCCGGCACCGCGGCCCGCAGGAGGGGAAGCCTTGCGTGGCGCGGTTCGCCGCGCCACGCGCGCGGTGGCTGCGAGGACGCAGCGCCCTCGGCACCATGGCGGGCCGCCGCCGCCGCGAGCACTGCGCGCCCGCGTCCGCGGTGCCGGCAGAAGCGGCGAGTCGCACGAGGGCGTCGCGGGAGGCCGTGCGCGGCGCGGCCCTCGCGACGCACGCTGCGGCCAGACCGGCGGGCGGGAGCCGCGGAGGCGCAGGCGCGGCGCTGCGAGGGCCGCCGAGGGGCTGCTGCGCGCCGACCTTGGCGGCCCTCGCGGCGCCGCCTGGGCAGCCCCGCGGCCGCGGATGGCAGGAGGTCCGACGCTGCCCCGCGGCGGCGGCGCCGTCCTCCTGGGAAAAGCGGCGTGGCGGGCCCTGGCGCGCAGGCGAGGGGCGTGAGCTCGGACGTGCTCATGGTCGGCGGGGACGGGGGTGGGCGGGAGCTCGGCAGCGGCGGCAGCGGTGCCCGTCGAGCCGTCTGGTCCGTTGCCGCGGGCCGCCTGGGCAGGCACGCTGCCTGTGGTGCGGCGCCGAGCGTCCGGCGGCGCTGGCCTCGGCTGCGGCACGAGCAAGAGCAAGGGCGAAGGGCTACGGCGGCAATGACATGAGCGTGGACTCGGTGGCGAAGATCCGCGGTCGCGACGCAACCCTTTTAGACAACTTGGGCTAGCCCGTGGTGTGTGGCAGGATTCCGCGCGGCCCCGTGGAGCCGCGAGTGCACATGGCTGGGCTGACCGAGATGCCGCCATCGCGGGACCAGACGCGGCGGAGCAGGTCGGCAAGGGCTCCGGGGCGGCAGTTCGGGAGTTGCTGGAAGGTGCCCCTGGGCGCCAAAAAGTGCGCGTGTGGGGGAGGGTCGGACGGGGCTCGGACGAGGACAAATCCGAGACGTCTTCCGGAGCCGCCGGATCTCAGAGATTCTCGATCTACCCTCACCCGATTGCGAAAACCTTACGGCCGGTGCCGCCGACCCTGAAGACTACGAGGAGGAGGAGGAGGGGGGGAAGGATGAGGAGGAGGAGGAGCAAGAAGAGGAGGAGGAGGAGGAGGAGGCAGAGGAGGAGAAGGAGGAGGGGGAGCAGGGGGGGGGAGGAGGAGGAGGAGGAGGAGGAGGGAGGAGAGAGGAGAGGAGGAGAGAGGAGGAGGAGGAGGAGGAGGAGGAGGGGAGGAGGAGGAGGAGGCGTTGTGGCATTCTGGGGTCTTTGGGAAACAGCTTCTCATGGCTTCGGGGGCGGTCGAGGGGCAAACGTATCTGGGCGGCGTCCTTTGGCCGTCTGGGGGCCCCCTTTGGCCGTCCTTAGGCGTTCTTGGGCTGTCTTGTGGGGCTTGGGCCGTCTAGGGGCGCTCTTGCGGATCCGTCGTGGCGACCCCCCCCCCCTCCAGCGCATCTACAGAGGGCCGCTCTGTAAAAGCCGCAAACGGGGGATGCGAGTCTGAGCCTCCCCCCGGGACCACCCCCCCGCCAGGGAAGGGACAAAAGGAAGGGGCTTCCCTTTCACGTGACTACGACCTGGGTCGATTTCCCTCAATCCCCGGACTCCTCCCCCCGACGACAGGAGAGTGCTCTCTCACCCCCGACGAGAAAGGATAAACAGAAAAGGCGTCCCGTCGACGGGACCAGACAGACACCCCACACACGCCGACAGGGTCGGCGGATTTTATCCTCGTCCTGGCTTTGTCCCAGGAGGGGGGGGCGCCCAAGTTCGGGCGTCGGGGGTCGTCCTCGGCGACCTCGCGGTCGAAGGCCTGGCGCCTCAGTTGGCGCGGCTGCGGCTGCGCGCTGGGCGGAGTGTCCCTTGGTCCTCTGCCGTGCTCTCTCTCTCTCTCTCTCTCTCATCTCTCCGTCCCTACCCCTCTCAACGCTCTCTCCCGATCCATACTCTCCCCTCTCTCCCTCCTACTTCCTCACTCCCTCTCACTTCTCTCCTCACTCTCACCCCTCCTCTACTTCTGCCTCCTCTACTCTCACTCGCCTCCACATTCTCATCTCTCTCACCTAACTCTCTCTCTCACTCTCTCTCTCCCACCCCCATACTTCTCCTCCTCCTCCTCCACCTCCTCCTGCTCCTCCTCCTCCTCCTCCTCCTCCTCCCCCTCCTCCTCCGCAGCAGCAGCAGACGCAGCAGCGTCATCATCATCGGCCGACACTGGGCCCAGGATTGGCCTGGCCAGGACCGGTGCAGGTGCACCGCTGGCGCCATCCCAGGCAGGGGGTCGGCGAGGCCGCGCCCGAGCAGCGTCGAGGGGGTCCGCGGCAGGAGGCCCGAGGGTATCGAGCCTGTCGGAGGTCGGGCCCCTGGTCTTGGGCCCGCTGGCGGCGAGCCCTTGCCGCCTCCTCCTCCTCCTCCTCCTCCTCCTCCTCCTCCTCCTCCTCCTCCTCCTCCTCCCTCCTCCTCGTCCTCTTCCTCCCTCCTCCCTCATGCAGTACGAATTCCAACCGACTGGGACGAATCCCATCCAACTAGTACGGCTTCCAGCCGGCTCGAAAACACAAACAGGTGGGAACTCCGGCCGGCCTCGTAACGCCACTGTATGATCAAAAGTGCGATGCGATGTTAGGATGCCCCCGAACCACATAATCTGCTCATGCCTGCACGTGTATTCCAGAACTTAGCATTATTGCCCGGGCTGGAATGTGTACCAAGTTTGGCAGGGGATGTTACTGTAAGGGCTCATGGGCTTAAGGATTTAAGGGCTTAACGGTTGAACTGATTGAGAGTTTAAGCGATCTAAAGGGATTAAGGGTTTAAGGGTTTAAGGGTTTCTCACAAGGTTTAAGTGGTTAAGGGTCTTTGACGTAAGAGCTTAAGGGCTTAATGAGTTTAGGGCTTCGGTGTTTCAGGGCCCAAGGCCTTGAAGGGCTCAGGAATTCTTAGGTTTGCGGGTTTTAGTGCACCAGAGCCCCCGCGTACAATCCCGTTGATTCTTCTGGTTTCCCCAGGGTTTTGTAGGATCTTGTAGGACGCCTGTCTAGCACATTTCAGAGCCGCCTGTAAGACGCCTCTCAAAGCGGCCTATACGACCCTCTCAGGGCCGCCCCTTAGAGACGCCTGTAAAACGGCCCTCAGAGACGCATCTCAGAGACGCATATAAACGCCTCTCAGGGACGCCTCTCAGAAACGCCTGTAGGACGCCCCTCAGAGACGCTTCTCAGAGACGCATCTAAAACGCCTCAGGGAGACGCTCGTGACGCTACGCATGACGCCTCTCAGAGACGCCTCTCAGGGACGAACGTAAGACGCTTTTCAGAGACGCGTCTCCGAGACGCCCGTACGACGCCTCTGAGACGCCCGTACGACGCCTCTGAGACGCACGACGCCTCTGAGACGCCCGCACGACGCCTCTAAGACGCCCGTGCGATACTTGTAAGACGCCTCTAAGACGCCCGTACGACGCCTCTAAGACGCCTGTGGGACTTCTCATGGAGGTCTGGTTGGAATTCATCTAGAGGTGGTTGGGACTAGTACCAAAGTGGTCGGGATTGGTTCTAGCCGGTCGGAATGTGTCCCATTTCCGGGGCAAGCTCGTGCTGCCAAAGGCGTCCTTGGCCCAAGGGGTCTGCGACCGCGGGTCGGACGCTGCTGGCGAGCTCGGTCCTGCCTCGCTCCCACTCCCGTAAGTCCGCCGCCTCGAGCTCAAGCTGGCCCAGGGTTGTTCTGGGGAGGCCCAGGCGGCGTCGTCAGCGGCTAGCCCAGGATTTTCTGGGAGGCCCCGAGGGCCGCCAGGGCACCACTTCATGAGGCCCGGGCGGCCCCGGGGCTCCAAGGTGGCGCGAAACGCTGGGGGCACCTGAGGCCAGGAGCACCTTTGGCGGCTCTCGACCCTGGACACTGGGGCGACAGCCCCGCGGGAGGGGCAGCAGGAGGGTGAGGATTAGGCAGGGCTCATGTCGATTCGATCTCGATCCGATTCGGCGTCGATGCCGGCCGGCCCAACCCGAGACGGTTCCGACGCTCTGGCGATCCGATGTGGCCTGGTGTTTGCATGGCGCTGTCATGGATCCTGGCGCGGCCGATCCGATCCGGTTCTGACCCCGTGCCGATGAAGCCCAATCCGACGCGCGCTCCAATTTGATCCGGGTTCTCCGATTCGATGCTAAGCCGAATCTGCCGACACGTTGCCTGCGGGGGGGCGAGTCTGATGAGCATGCCGTCTCGGCCCCCTCCCCGCTGCTCGACGAGACGCTGACATGGATTCGGGCGCCTGGATAAGCAGCGGGCCCCGCTTCCGCACAGAATCGGCCCGCTCCGTCGCAGAATCGGGCGGCACCCGCCCCACGTTTCGGAGGGCGCCTTCCCCGAACCGCGGGCCTGGCGCCCGCGCGCCGGGCCCGCGGGTCTGCAGTCCATGTCAGCGTGCGCCTTCCCCTGTGTGGTCC